CTGTAGTAGACTTTTACAATTCTGTCCTTATATTTGTGTTTAAAATAATGACCATCCTAAAACGATGATTAGCACGTCAGGCCATTATATATAAAAATCTTGTTTTGGCACCCCATTGGCTGGGGAAGGAGGAAGGAAAAAGAAAGGGAGCTCCCTTCCAGAAGGTTTCTTGCTTGGTCGTCAAAGGCTTATTTTTATAAGCTAGCAAGCAAATACCTGTCTACCAGTTTGCCAGACTTACAATGTTTACCCTCTCTTTAGGAGATTAAGTTTTATTTCATTATCCTGCTTGTTGCAGCTGGAAAGAACTAAATAGGCATTGGGCATTGACAGCTAATAGGTTATCCTTTTGCGACAAGGCTCGCTTACTCAATATCTATTTTTTTGGATTTCTTTTGCGCTGGAGCCCACTCTCCTTATGGCCCCTGGAATGTATTAAAGCATTAAAGATCATAATGCTTGCTGCTCCACTTAACATTTGAACGACTGGAGAAACGTCCACAATTTTTTTAACCATTCAAACCGCTTTCCTCATGAAAATAGGAATGATTTTTTTTTTTTATAAGCGGCCAAGAGGCTTATATTTGAAAGGAGCAAGAAAGCAGGCTGTTTCTTTCTCATGACATTTGCACGCCGTCCCAGAACATAAAGCTTCTTGGGGCAGCTTAGAATAAGCAAACAGAAAAGCCATTTCACATAAGACCATAAAGTCCAACATCAACGTTAAAGTAAACAAACATAAAACAGAAGTGAGGAACGGAACATAGTGCCTGGATTCCAGAAAGGCAGTCCCCTGCACTGCAGCAATTTGTTGCAGTTTTCATTTGTTGGTAGCCCCCAACCAATGATCTCCCACGTTCTGGAAGTCCCCCTTAGGAAGGTCAGCGTCACCTGTACTCTACTGCAAAAGCTTCTTAGGTTGGTCAAAATGAGGAACCAATGCTATCAGTGGTATTATGGGAAAGGGGAGCAGGGAAAGGCCAGTTTGGTCTAGATCAGTGTTTCTCAACCTTGGCGACTTTTGAGATGAGTGGACTTCAACTCCCAGAATTCCCCATGGCTGGCTGGGGA